GGTGCACACCCGGTGTTGACCCGGGTGTGCACCCCCACATAGAAAAAAAAAAGGGACCGGGTGGGGTTGGGTTTTTTTTTTTTTCAATGGGGGAGTGTGCACACCCGGGTGTTGACCCGGGTGTGCACATATCTTTATCCTATATATTATTATATATATAAATGCACACCCTATTTGATGCATAAGGTAACATTTTATATATATATATATATATATAGCATAATAACTATTTGTGTTGGTCCAATTTTTTCTAGCATTGTTGTTTTTTTCTTCTTCATGTACAATTGAGAAGTCTCATTTTATCTTATAATGCATTGATTAAACATTAAATACTTATATTTATATTTATATTTTTTAAATATTATTTTTATTAAAAAAATAAAAGATTGCATTAAATACTAAATAGTATTTTTTTCATGCCTTTCCATCTTCCTACCCACCTATATATAAACCCTCACTTTTCTTTATACCAATGTATTATATTCTCCTCTTCATTTTTTCAATTTCTTTTCATTAATATGGTAAGTTCCAAATATGATTTTTCTTTTTGTTCCTATTTCATATTGTATCTAAATATAATATTATATTTTTATTTTGTATGTCTTTTTCTATCTTAGTCCAAAATATGTATATTTTTGTATAAACTATTTTCCTTATTAGTTTTATTATTTTTTTAATGAATTTTTTTATAGAAGATATGATGATTATTTTTTTAAAAGAATTTTATAATTTTATCTATTCCAAATATTATTTTTCTTTTTGTTCCTATTTCATATTGTATCTAAATATAATATTATATTTTATTTTATATGTCTTTTTCCATCTTAGTCCAAAATATGTATATTTTTGTATAAACTATTTTCCTTATTAGTTTTGTTATTTTTTTAATGAATTTTTCTTATAAAAGATATGATGATTATTTTTTTAAAAGAATTTTATAATTTTATCTAATTGAAATTTATGTATTCTTTTCTTTTTAGTTTATTAATGTTTTTTTTTTTTTGGTTGAATGTGTGGTAAGGACAAAACTTCGTTCATGAGATTGGAGTTCATCAAAACAATAATAGTATTGATTCATACACCGAGACTAAACGACAAAGGTATAAATTTGATAAAAATCAAGTTATATGAAAATATTGCATTTATTTTGTAGGATATTATATTTTTTATTTTATTTATATTAAACTATTATTAACTTTTTGATCCATTTAAATATGAATTTTACTTCACATTCCTTCTAAATTGTATATATATCCAATATATAACAAAAATTAAAAGGCAAAAATTTCTTAAAATAACCATCTATATCTATATTTATGTTTATCTATCTATATCTATCTATTATATTAAATGTTACACTCAAGTATTAATTAGGTACTAAAGATTTGTCATTTTTATTTTAATTATAAAAAATATATTTTGTTAAAAGTTAAAAAGAAAATATAGTATTTTTACATTCAAATGTAATAAATATATGTATTAATAATATTAGTTTTACCTTTTTATCTTCTCATTTTCTTCTCTTCCACTTCCACTTTTTTTCTCAATATTCTCAATTATTTTATTATTATTAGTTTTCATTACATATATAATGAATGAATGAATTAAACCAAAGAAAGATGAATAGAGGCTTAATTTTTATGGAGAATAAAAATATACAATTACAATTTCATTCATCATCATTTAAAACACTATTATAACACTTTTATTCATTATTTATTTTTATCATTTTTAATGTTTTTCATCTCATGTACTTTTTTTTTTGTTGAAAAAAATGTGCATGAGGAAGTGAGATCTAAAAAAGCTTGACAAAGAAAAAGATTTTTGAATGAATTTTTTGATTTTATTT